AAAGGAAAAGGACCAGGGCAGTGGAAGGAAGTGGCACTAAACAAACACACACTCTGTTGGGAGGAGCTCGCAATGTGCATCTGACCTTGGGACAGCAGGGGCTGTGGGTTGGGATTGAGGGGCACTGGCAGAGCAATGGTGGGGGGGAGGGGAGCACAAGGCAAGGATAGTAGGGGGCTACAGGCCCAGATTCAGGGGCAGCGGCAGAGCTGTGTGTGAGGAGGGCCCATGGCTGGGATAGCAGGGGCTGCAGGCCCGGATTCAGGGCGGAGTACAGGGATCGGTGCCCAGCGAGGATGTTGACAGAGACAGCTCGACATCACTTCTGTTGAGGAATCTCTCACATCACTGCTGTCGTCTCTCTAAGTTGATTTGTTTCCCTTTTTTTTGTTATCCTCCCCAGATTTTTCCCAGCTCCCCACCCCACATGTTCACTTCACTCCAGCCCCTTTGTCAGGCCCTTCCCAGTCCACCACTCATGTTACCATGGCTACTGCTTCATCCTTCACTCCAGTTGCTGACCAAGGTACCGTAAGCTCCTTTTCTGTTTCTTTATGGATTCCCTGCGCCCGCGCCCAGTGGGGAGTGCTGCAGGACATAGCAGAGAATGGCTTCCAAGCCCAGAGACACGTGGGCTGTGTTTAGACTGGCAAGTTTTTCTGCAAAATCAGTTGATTTTGCGGAAAAACTTGCCAGCTGTCTACACTGGCCGCTTGAATTTCCGGAAAAGCACTGACGATCTCCTGTAAAATCATCAGTGCTTTTCCAGAAATACTATGCTGCTCCCGTTCGGGCAAAAGTCTTTTTCCGAAAGACTTTTGCGCAAAAGGGCCAGTGTAAACAGCACAGTAGTGTTTTCTGCAAAAAAGCCCCGATCGCGAAAATGGCGACTGGGGCTTTTTTGCGGAAAAGCGCATCTAGATTGGCCATGGACGCTTTTCCGCAAAAAGTGCTTTTGCGGAAAAGCATCCTGCCAATCTAGACGTGCTTTTCCGAAAATGCTTTTAACGGAAAACTTTTCCGTTAAAAGCATTTCCGGAAAATCATGCCAGTGTAGACGTAGCCGTGGACTGTGGCTCCAGCTGCTGGCTAGTACTATCAGGGCTTCCTCGCTGGACTATCCAGGTTCTGCAGCCACCTGCCCAGTCACACTTCAAAGCCAGAACCCACAGGAGTGAAAGGTCCCTCATGGTGGCAAGGAGAAGTGTGATAGCAGAAGAGGCTGGTGGTCCATCTAAATCAGTAGTTTTCAAACTAGGGGTTGCGACCCAGGACTGGGTGGTGGAATGCCAGGCGCTGGGTCTCATTGCTGCAGGGGGATCAGGTGAGCAGTGGGGGTGCTAAGGCAGCTCCTTGCCTGTCCTGCCACCACAGACTGCGCTGCGCCCCAGAAGTGGCTGGCAACAAGCCTGGCTCCTAGATGGGAGGCAGAGAGAATGCACAGGGCTCCGTGCACTGCCCCTGGCCTGAGCACTAGCTCCGCACTCCCGTTGGCTGGGAGCCTGCTGCTAGATGCTTCTGAGGTGCAGCAGGGCTGTGGGGCCGGGAGAGGCAGGAAGCTGCCTTAACACCCCTCAAGGTAAACCCTCCTGCCCCAGCCCTGACCCCCCAAAGCTGGAGCCCCTCCGATGCCCCAAAGTTCTCCTTAGTCCACCCCAGAGCCCACACTCTAGTCAAACTATATTGGGTCCTTCAACAAGTTTCTTCAACTGGGACATGAGAAAAGTTTAAAAACCGCTGCTCTAGTGTGCTAGCCCACCTCCCTGCTGGCCCAGTGAGCCCAGAGGTGCTCTTCCCCATGCAAACACACACCTCTGTGGGAACCATTGTGCGTGGTTGCAGAAAACCCGATGCCCCTTCTGGTCCCAGCTGGGGCACCACCAAAGTATGAGCCCTTAATACGTGTCCCTTAGGGGGTGCCATTGCTTTCGTGCATTGACCCATCTAATCCACATCTGAACTGTGCTCACCTGTTTGCTGCAATACTGTCTCATGCAGGGAGTTCCACAGGTTAACTGCACAATGCAAAACATACCTGGTGTCAGTCTGAAGTGCTGCCTTTTCATTCTGGGCAGCTCAGAGCCCCCCTGGCTCCCTTACCCCTTCCTCTATTTATATCCTCTGCCATCCTGTCTTGTTCTTCTCCATTCCGGACTCACCCCGTTCAGACACCCCCTTCCTTCTCTATGCATTTCCATGGCCCTTCCCTGGAGCATCCATGCTGAGCCAATGGTTCTGGGAGGAAGCAACTAAAACTGAATGAAAAGTTGCCCCTGAAGCCAGGCAGGGGGCGAGCACTGTCCGCCCGAGAGGTGCAGACCCCTCACACTGCCTTCCCTCCTCCAATGTGAACACCAGATACTGTCCTCTCCGCAGATGCAGGCCCAAGAAGCACCGTGACCCCTGGCACAGACCCTGTTCTCCCTCCCCCAGCACAGACACACCTAACACTGTCAATAGATGCAAGACACTGACCCCAACCCTCCAGCATAGATCCAAGACACCATCACCCCCAGCCCAGCCAGGAGAAACATTCTTCTCCCAGAGCAGAGGGATGAGACACCATTACCCCAATATGGACGCAAGACACCCTTCCCCCCGGCCCCATGCATCCCCCTTCTGTTCTGAAATTTGATTTGTCCTTTTCATATGTGTTCATTTTTTTTAATTGTATCCTTTGGTATATATGGTTGTGACAATTTTCTTCCACTATTTGATTTGAGGAAGTGGGTCTGCCTCCCACATGCACAGTCTGTTTTGGTCAATAGAATTTAAAAAACCATAATATTCATGGTGGTGTAACCGTGGGGGTACTGACCCAAAAAAGGGCTATGACGGGGATCACAAGGCTGTTGTAAGGGTGTCATGGGTACAGCTTGAACCTCCCAAATGCAGGACTCTCCAGCCCGGCAACATCCGTGGTCTGGCAGGGCCATGGATGTTGCTGGACCAAAGAGCCCCGGAGGCTGGGAGTGGGAGCCAGCTGGGACCAGGCAGAGGACGGGAGCCCTGGCCCAGACCAGGAACCTCCCCTAGCAGCAGTGGGGCCAGGTACTTGGGGAGTCCTGTCTGGATAACCCTGGGGAATCCCAGTGGCAGCGGGGCTGGCCCTGGCAGAAGGGCTGGCAGCAGTTAGATGCCCCAAGCCAGGAAGCCCCAGGAAACCCCCAGTGGCAGCAGGACCAGGCAGCAGCCGGGGAAGTTTGTCTGGGGATCCCTGGCAGCAACAGGTGAGCAGCAGGGTGGGGGGCCCAGGACCAGCAGGGAGCATTGACCACCCCTGGTCTGTTAAACTCAGTGGTTTGGGACTGCTCAGGTCCCAAGGGTGCTGGACCAGGGGTCTATTATCATCTGTCTGCAGTTCTGCCTTTGGAGCTGGACAGCTAGTGGGCAGCTGCTGGCTGGGAGCCCAGCTCTGAAGGCAGCACTGCCTGCAGCAGGGGTGCAGACGTAAGGGTGTAACAATACCAAACCGCTCCAGCCTCCCTTCTGTGCTGCTGCTGGCAGCAGTTCTGCCTTCAGAGCTGGGTTCCCAGCCAGCAGCCGCTGCTCTCTAGACACTCAGCCATTGTGGGGATGGTGTTTTATGTCTAGGGCCCTACCAAATTCATGGCCATGAAAAACATGCCGTGGACCGTGAAATCTGGTCTCCCCTACCCCAGCCAGCTTTCTGTGGAGGAGATCAGATTTTACGGTCTAGAGCATATTTTGCATGGCCCTGAATTTGGTAGAGCCCTAGACATGAGACACCTTCCACCCACCTCCCTTGTGCCATGGATGTGCCACCTTGGTCTGGGTTGCGGTGCTGGGAAGGGTGCTCAATGGTGCAACACAGCTGAGCCAGGACCTGGCAGGAGGTCTGATGGGCTCTGCTGCAGTATGAGAGCCAGGCTGGGCAGTACCTGAGGCTTCCCTCTGAGTCATGTGTACCCAGCTCCCTCAGCCCTGTTTTGCCTTTGCTGGCAAGAGACAGGATGGCTGGAATAGAGGGGCCAGAGAGATCTATGGTGGTCACAGTGTTAGAGCGCCTGAGCCTTGACAGAGCCAGGGCAGCAGGTCAGGAGAGAGGGAGCATCTCAGAGCTGTACAGGAACCCAAGACTGGAATAGCAGGGGCTCTGCAGGGCAGGCATAGGGAGGAGAGGGGGTGTCACTCTGACCCTGCACTGGACAGAGCGACTTGGTACTCTGGACCAGGGCCTGGGCAGGGAGGGAAGGAGAGCAGAGGGGGCGAGCTTGGGGAATGGAGGGGACAGAGGTTGGGGTGGGCTTTCACCTCCTGCCCAGCCCCAGCTCTCCAGACGCTGGTCCATGTTCGCAAACACCCCAGCTGTGGTCCATTGCAGAGGCTGGCCCTGAACTGGCTTCCTGTTTTACCTTCTCCCTTGGACCCACTTTCTCCAAATTCCTCCCAGCTTCTTTCTCCTCAGTCTGCATCCAGCCCCGTCCCACTGGAGCAAGAGCATTGTCCACTGCAGCTCCTCTCTGCTTCCGTTGCATTTCCCAGCTCCCTCACAACCCCCTCTTCATCCATCGCATTTCCCTGCAGCCCCTCTCTGCTTCCATAGTATTTCCCAGCTCCCCTGCAGCTCCTCTCTGCATCCATCGCATTTCCCACCTTCCCCACAGCTCCTCTCTGCATCCATTGCATTTCCCAGCTTCCCTGCAACCCCTCTCTGCTTCCATCGCATTTCCCATCTCCCCCGCAGCCCCTCTCTTCTCTCTCCCTCTAATGTTATTTCATTCCTGGTTTTTAGGACCTGGCAGCTGGTGCGAGGGGACCCGGCCATGGGGAAAACTGTGCTGTGTTGGAATGTGCCCTTGTTGCCTTGAGGGTCCATGTAGGGGAGCATGGAGGCAGGCCGGGCAGACACATTGCAACCCCCCACCACCACCACCTCTGGCCTTGCGGGAGTGTCTGTACGAGGCAGGACTTCAGCAGGGCCTGTCAACCTCTCTCTCTTTCTCTCCTCTCTCTCCCCGGCATTGCTCCGTGGATAGACGCCAGCCCGATGTCTTCCTCCTCTGGCACGTACCACGCTGTCATCGGCGGGGTGGTCGCCGTCATTGTCTTTCTGCTGCTCAGCCTGCTCATTGTTCTGGCACACTACCTAATCAGGCACAAAGGTAAGACCCGGCCCCTGCCCACAGCTCATGGGCTGGCCTCTCCGAGCAGGAAGGGAGGAGGCAGCTGTCTTTCTTGCCCGTGGCCTGTAGCCCATTCCTGATCTTGCCCCGCTCAATGCTCTCTGTCCCCTGTCCTTTCAGAGCCCTCCCTGGGGCCAAGCACTCCACATGTGGACCATGTTCTGCTCTCACAGCCTGGGGGTAGCTGAAGTTCCAGCCCTGGGGGAAGGTGTCCCCTTTTGCCCCGCAGTACCTCCTGCCCGCTGTACCCAGCCTGGCACAGAGGGAGGCAGATCCCCTGGGCCCTCACTGCCATCCAGACCTGACTGATGTGCTGAGAAACTTCAGCAATTAGCAGCAGATCAAATTAAATCCGCACAGCGCTGCAGGGGGATCTCTGGCAGGTGGTTCTCCCTCCCGTGGGGCTGGCAGCTTGAGCATTACCTCCTGCTGACCACCCAGAGCAGGACTAAGTTCCACCAGACTCTCGTAATCAATCAGCTTCTGCCTGCCTGAGCCCAGGCTGGGGAAGGCTGGCTACCAGACTGCATTCCTCCTTCCCCTGTCACTCTCCAGGACGTCTCTCGCACTAGGGACGTTAACTAATGGTTACCTGTGTAAATGGGTAACCGCTGGAAATTTTAGCAGTTACACAGGGACAAGGGGACAGGTGGGAGCTAGTGCAGCTTTCATGCTGGCTTCCCGCATGTACTGGCTCCCCACTGCCCCCCTCACCCCCACGCTGCTGCCGCTCTATCAGAGGCAGCAGTACAGGGGGGAAGGAGGGGAGGGGCCGGCGGCACTACAGGAGCCAGCACATGCGGGAAGCTGGCTTAAAAGCTGGCTTCCCATGGGCACTGGCTCTTATCCCCCCCACCCCACCGTGCTGCCTCTGATACAGAAGCAGCAAAGAGGGAATGGAGGGTGTGTGTAGTTGTTGGGGTTGACCGAAAAGCCCAGGCTTATCGGTTAATCGTGTAAATGACTACATGCTAACATTCCTATCTCACACCATCTGTGTCTAGTACCATCATGTCATTGTTTTCCATTCATTTCTCAAGGACTCATCCCCCTAAATAACTCTGCATCCCATTCAGCCCTATTCCCGGTCACCTGCAAGTTGCACTCTCCTCTCGGAACTCCTGCAGAGGTTTTTCAAAGGGCATAGATTATCCATCCATCTGTCCACCTCCACACCATCCATCTACCATCCCCCCTCTCTCCCAGCCATGGCATTCTCCCCTCCCTTGACTTTTCATCTGTCCAGCACATACGTGTACGAAACACAGAGAATTAAATGTAACCATCAGCAATAGATACAGACGTGTGACATGCTGGGGTGGGGGGGATAAGAGCCAGTGCCCATGGGAAGCCAGCTTTTAAGCCAGCTTCCCGCATGTGCTGGCTCCTGCAGTGCCGCCTGCCCCTGTGCTACTCATCACAGTCATAAAAGAGCTGGAAAAGAAGGAGAACAGCCAAGTGATCACGTGTTCAGATACAAAATTGCTCAAGATTGTTACGTCCAAAGCTGGCAGTGAAGAGCTACAAAGAGAAATCACTAACCTGGCCAACAGAATGGCAGATGATAAGAGCAGAGTAAGTGCTGGCAAAAACGTAAATCACATACAATTGCACGGACAAAAGGACGGGGTCTGTATTGCCTGTTACCACTCGAGAGAGAGATCTTGGCATCATTGTGGAGGGTTCTCTGAAAACAGCCACTCCACAGCTAGGTCTAGATTACTAGGCTTTATCAGAAAAAGCTAAGCAAATTGCACTCCACATTTTGCGTAGCTTTTTCCGATGGCTTTTGTGGAAGAGGCTTTTCCGCCATTTAGCCCAGTCTAGACGGGACCAAATGGCAGAAAAAGCCTCCTTTTTCAGCAGAGCCCTTATGCCTCATGAAACGAGGGATACAGAGCTCCCCAAAAGAATGCGTTTGATCTTCCGCAAAAAAAAGCGAAAGAGCAAACGCGTTCCTTGGACGCGGCGGGGTTTTTGCAGGATACACTTCTACACATAGCGGCTACGTCTACACTGGCATGAATTTCCGAAAATGCTTTTAACGGAAACGTTTTCCGTTAAAAGCATTTTCGGAAAAGTGCATCTAGATTGGCAGGATGCTTTTCCGCAAAAGCACTTTTTGCGGAAAAGCGTCCGTGGCCAATCTAGAAGCGGTTTTCCGCGAAAAAGCCCCGATCGCCTTTTTACACTGGCCCTTTTGCACAAAAATCTTTCAGAAAAAGACTTGCCCAAATGGGAGCAGCATAGTTTTTCCGGAAAAGCGCTGATGCTTTTACATGAGATCATCAGTGCTTTTCCGGAAATTCAAGCGGCCAGTGTAGACAGCTGGCAAGTTTTTCTGGAAAAGCAGATGATTTTCTGGAAAAACTTGCCAGTCTAGACACAGCCAGCCTGCGTGTGGTGGCAGCCAAAAAAGCAAATAGATTTGGAGGAACCATTAGGAAAGGGTTAGATAATAAAACATAAAATACCATAATGTCACTATATAAATCTATATTAAGCCCACCTCTGCACCATGATACTGTGTGCAGGTTTAGTCGCCCCAGCTCAAAAAATAAATTCGAATTGGAAAAAATGCATAAGGTAATAAAAATGATAAGGGAAGCGGAACAGCTTCCATAGGAGGAGAGATTAAAAAGACTGAGACTGTTCATTTTTAAGAGAGATATGATACAGGCATATAAATAATGACTGATGTGGAGAAAATTAATAAGGAAGTGTTTGTTGTTTACTCCTTCACACAACATAAGAACCTGGGATCACCCCATGAAATTAATAGTCAGCAGGTTTAAAGCAAACATAAGGACATACTTTTCTCACAACACACAGTCAACCTGTGGAACTCCTTGCCAGGGGATGTTGTGAAGGCCAAAAGTACAGCAGGATTCAGAAAAGAGCTAGATATGTTCAGAGAGGATAGGTCCATGCCAAACTGGTCAGGGATGCAACCCCCTGTTGTGGGTAACCCTGAGTCTCTGTCAGAGCTAGGATGAGATGACAGGGGATGGATCACTCGATAATTGCCCAAACTGTACATCCCCATGGAAGTGTGTAGCCCCAGCCACTGTCAGAGGGCAGGATACTGAGCTAGCTGGACTGATCTGACATTACGGTCGTTATGTGCTTATGACACCAGGACAGCTTCAGAGAGGATGTGTCACGAATCGGCCCGCCGCCTCCCCTTCACCCCTGGCTCCTAAAGGTGGGAGCCGGACAGGCCCGAGTTTACAGCCCTTTGTGGGGCGAAGTGGGGGGTCCGGGCCCACCCTCTCTCCGGACCCCGGCCCTAACGCCAAGAGCGTGACTCTTGGCGGTAGCAGGGGGGTGTGTACCCCAAACACACCTGCTCTTGGGTTTCACGGCCCGCCCTGGGCCGCTTCCACTCGGCGTTACAACCCGGTGCCTCTCTGCTCCTCCCCTCCTATTGTCCCGTGCTCCGTACTCCCTCTCCTCCCAGGGTCTTCGTTCGTGTCCTTCCCCCTCTTGGTGTCCGGTCCCCCCCCCTTTATATCGTCCTCCCTCTCTCCCTCATTCCCAGGCTCTCCCCACTTCCGGGTTTTCCTCCCGGCCCTGTCCGCACGCGCCCGTGACATCAGCGTCACTCTCGGGCGTACACTGATGACGTGCCTCTCCCTCGGCGCCCGGCATTTGTGGCGCCGCTCGAGCTGTGGCCGCGGACCCTTCTCCCTGGCCCGTGCCTTGCGCAGCTGGTGAGTGGCGGGGTTGCTTCACCCCGTCACAGGATGTGTATGTTGGAAACAGTCACCTCCTCAGACTCTTTGGACCTAGGTGCACTCCCAGCCGGTGTAAGGGGGTCGGAGTTGGTACCACTCAATACTGAGGAGTCAGGTGTTGGAAGTTCATGTGGGGTGGAGGCTTCTTTGCGTTCCGCTGTCTTCCACCCTTTGGCTAGGTGCTATCCTGGCCCCTTCAGCTGTCACCTCACCCACTTCCAACCCTTCGGCTATCATTATTGGAATGGCTGTAGCATCCAGCACCCCCAGCAGCTGGGGTGGTGATGGGTTGTATGCGGCACAGACCCAGAGGTATCCCTGGGCCCTGCCCTGAAGGTCCCACCCGCTGCCCGACTCATAGCTGATGAGTGAGGTTGCTTCAGCCCGGAAGGTGCTGACAGAAGTAAGGTGCCCACTGAGGGACTGGGAGGGAGTAGAGATCACACAGGCTCAGCCTCACCTCCTGACCCAGACGCCAGGCTCCAGGCTGTACCTAGACACAGGGCTCTCAGCACAAGCGCCGTGAGTGCAGCTGGCCGGGAACTACCCCCTGGAATGATTTTCTGATGCCCTGTTTGCAAAATTGCAGTTTTGGGTGGGAAAACTGAAATGCAGAACCCTGGCCACTCACCTGCAGGACAGGTAGAATTGACAAGAGCCTTCTAGGCAGTTCCCGGTCAGCGGCAAACCTCCGGTTTGGTTCCCCATCCGCAGAGTTGTTTCCATTTCTGCCCATGCAAACTATCAAGGTTTCTGTCTTCTGCTAACGCCCCGTGGTAATATTTTCTGAAACCTCACCAGTTTGGGAACTCCTGCCCAGAATCCCCTGGGAGCCTTGCCTGCCACCTGGTCCCTCTCCCAGGAGGTTCTGAGAGACCTCAGCAGCCACCCAAACCATGACTCACGTGATGAATGAGCCTTCTCTCTGCCCAGGTACCTACCTGACACATGAGGCCAAGGGATCAGACGATGCCCCAGATGCCGACACTGCCATCATCAATGCGGGGAACTCCTGCCCAGAATCCCCTGGGAGCCTTGCCTGCCACCTGGTCCCTCTCCCAGGAGGTTCTGAGAGACCTCAGCAGCCACCCAAACCATGACTCACGTGATGAATGAGCCTTCTCTCTGCCCAGGTACCTACCTGACACATGAGGCCAAGGGATCAGACGATGCCCCAGATGCCGACACTGCCATCATCAATGCGGAGGGAGGCCAGGCCAGCGGTGATGACAAAAAGGAATATTTCATCTAGGGGCGCAGGGTGGAGAGAAGAGAAATGGAACCAACCAACCTAGATGGAAATGGACACCGGACCACAAACCCAACTCAACCCAACAGATTTTCTCTCGTGCCCTGGATGGACGGACGAACAGAGGGACGGCGGGACAGAGACCAGAGAGTGACCGGCTTGATTCATGATGCTTCTTCTCGAACTTGTATAAAACGTTATTACTAAAAACATTGAAAGCCCCACCCCCGTTCGCTTGCTTGTACCTTCCTAGCCGCGACCAACACTCGCACTAAACACACAGACAAGCCAGTGAGTGACACTTTCCTTCTTTCCTTTGGCCCCTTTGCTTTGGTTCTGTGGATGCTCTTTGCTTTGGTTCCTCGGGTTGGAATGTCAGGGTGGGGTCGGTGTCGTTCTTTCCGTTGCTTCTTTCCATTTTTTGGTTCCTTTGACGTCCAAGGATAAAATCAGCCCTCCCAGTGGCTGCCTGCTGCCATGGGCCAGGGCGGCCTGGGATCCCTTTCCGTTGCTAACATTTCCCACCCGAGAGCCGGGGACCACAGTTCCATAGTGTTCCCCCGCCCTTGGCTCCTGCATGATGCTCTGAGCCCGACCCGTGGGAACGGCCCTAGGCTGAGTGCCGGGGAGTCTGTCTCCACCCCACTGAATCAAACAAGCCCTGAGCGCCCCAGGGGATGTCCAGCGAGAGCGAGGAGACAGGGGAGCTCGCGTCAGCAGGAGGCAATGTCAGTGTCTCTGTGAGCCCGGCACACCCAGCCCGCTGGGGCCCGGCGTTGATTTTATCCTTGGAGGATGTGTCTGAAAATGTGAATTTGGGAGGAGAACTGTCCTGTGTGATACATGTCCAGAGGGGAGCCAGCTGCCACGGTGGGAGCCACGTGTGGGCTCCAGTCCCCACTGATGCCCAACGAGAGAGATTCAAACGCCGCAAGGCGAGTGTGCACCCAGGCCCCCAGCCAGGGGGTGTGGCAGGTGTACGGACGTGATTCCAAGAAAGGCTGTAATGTCTCTGATGGCAGCCATGACCGTAACCCATCTGTTGAGATTCTCAGCGCAAGGAATCCACCCTTGCGTCTCTTCCCTGTGCCCGGAAATGATGGGCAGAGAGAGGCCCTGGCAAGCCAGGTGATGGAGAGGGTGTGTTCTCGGCCTCCATGCTGCTGTCATGCCTTCCCTGCTCTCTGATTGGTTGACCTGCCCCATCACCTGGGCCCGGGGAGCATTTGGAAATAGAAACTTGCCGTGACCGCAGGTGACTTGGCCACGGGGTGTCTCTCTTCTAGGCCACGATTAGCTGAGCAGCCTCATTCCCACAAAGCATCCGCCCCGAATCGGAACCGTGACAGCTCTGAACTGGCGCAGCCGCACCCGACAGATGGCCGGTAACCCACCCAGAGCCAGTGGAGGGAATGAGCCTCGTGGCAAACTGCCCAGGGTCCCTTCAGGGAAGTGTGCTCCGGGGCTAAGCTGCACGTGGTGGGGTACAGAGTAAATTTTGCTCATCAGACTTCTCAGCCCACTCACCAGAGCCATGGCTCTGCTCCCTCTAGAGCCTGCCTGGTCCTCCCCGGCTGTCACCATCTTTGAAGAGCACTCACCCTTCCTCAAAGTAGAACCCCCACTCCAGCCCTCAAGATGGGCTCACTGAGCCAGCCTGGGAAGTGGGTGTAAGGCTCGGGCAGTGACGGGCTCAGCTATTGTAGCTGCGCTGGTGTCTCTCAGGTTCCCCACTGTGGCCAACTCCCATGATTTGATCAGGCGTCGTCTGAGATGTGGTGTTTTCTCTCAGCGCCTCAGCTCCTGGAGTCCTGGGACTATCTGAGCTGCTCCACTTTCATTTGTGAAAAGTACTTTTCCAGCCCTCCGGGTTGGGGGGAAAGCTGGGAAAGGGGACAGGAATGTGGCCTACAGGCTGCAATAGAAGACAGGAAATCCCTTCCCCCGGCAGATTTAGCATTTCTGAAAATCTCACAAGTCACCGGCCGGTCTCAGGATGCCAGGGAGCCTGGCTCATGGCTCTAGAGCATGTGAAGTTGAGGCTGGGTCTTGGCCCCTGCGATAGGCCAAGGAAGCACAGCACCTGCCGGCTGAATGTATGAGATGGTGACCACGCTACCTGAGAGCCCCCACCCTGGGACATAAGGGCTGGCTGTTGGCATTACCTGGCCCCTCCCCAGGGGAGGCTGCAATTCTCAGTGGTAAGTGGCTGGGGGGGGGGAGAGAACCCTGCAGGGACTAGTGGTGACTGCTGTTCCTTCCAACAGAGTCACAACCGCACAAGGGGCCTAGCAAGGGTCAAGGCTCCGTGGCAGGCAGAGACTGGACACAAGTGCTGACTGAAGCCGTCTCGCCCCAGGGGAGCAGGGAACTAGAGCCTGGACCCCCAACCCCCAATGCTCAGGGCTTCAATAAATGCCCAGAAGGTTTCTCTTCCCTGTCACAGACCCAAGCCAGCCCCACCCCGTGCACACAGAGCCAGTGCCCATATGCGGCTCCCCTCATGTACTCAACACCAGCCTCACAAGCTGGGCTGAGCCGCAGAGCCAGGCCTGAGGCTGGGATACAACCTTGTACAGATAGGAACAGGCCCGGCTCACTCCACTCGGCAGAGCTAGGCCTCGGCTCCTGGCCCCTCAGGTCCCAAGTGGCAGCCCTCAGCTGTGGGCTCCACGGGGACCAGGCCCACGAGAGTCCAGGCCCATCTACACAGGTTCCGGGCCCACGAGGGCTTGTCATGCATCTGTCCTCGTCACTCCAGCTACCTTGGGGAATCTCCAGGCCCTCCTGCAGTAGCCAGGCAGGGTCCTTGCTAAACCCCTGGAATGTGACTGAAAATCCATGTGCTCCCTGGGCTCCTGATGGGCCTCAGCTTGGCTGGGACCCTAACAGGTCTGGACGCCCTGGGCTTCCAATGTGGTTAAGATGGGCCTCCAGAGCCTAACAAAGGGCACTATCCCACCGGCATGGCGAGGTGTAAGCAGCATCCTCCCCAGGAAGTGCATGTGAAGTGAAGCATCCCTCAATGTAAGGCAAGATCCGTCTCCTGCCCAGGGGGTTTATGCAGGTCCCACCCCCTGGTGCATGGCTGTTGTAAGGTGTTGCATGCCTTGTAAACATAGGGCTGGCATTTCCCAAGCCCCTGAGATGTGGGACCAAGTGGAGGCCAGCTGTGGGAATGGCAAGGAAATGGTAGGCCCCACCTCTCTAGTGGGAAAGTCTGAGTTTCCCCTCATGCTGGGTGTGTGGGAGGCAGTGGCTACAGCCTTCTAGTGGCTGTGAGACTAATGAGTCACACAAGTTCTTGCTGGGTGAGTGTGGGAGTTCCAGGGTACATCACCACCACAGTGAGAGTTAGGGAATTAACTGTCTCAGGTGTGTGCAAGTGACAGGATGCAGTATAGCTTGCATGTATGGGAGTGCCAGGATACATCAAGTTTCAAGTGTACAGGACTGATGGGCTACACCATGTTTAGAGTGTGTAGGGCTGATGGGATGCATCATGTCTTGAGTGTGTAGTAGTGACAAGATATACAATGTCTTGAGCATATAGCAGTGGTGAGATACACTGGGTTTTGAGTGTGTAGGAGTGATGGGATACACTAGCTTTCAAGTGTGTAGGGCTGATAGCATACATAGTGTCTCGAGTGTGTAGGATTGATGGGATACACCATGTCTCAAGTGTGTAGGATTGACAGCATACAGCGTGTCGCTGGTGTGTAGGATTGATGGGATATACCATGTCTCAATCATGTGGGAGTGATGGGATACGCCAAGTCTCAAGTGTATAGGAATGATGAGATGTATCATGTCTCAAGTGTATATACGGGAGGTGAGATATGCTATGTCTCAAGAGTGTAAGGGTGATTGGATATACCATGTCTCCAGTGCGTGGGAGTGACAGACTATACTGTATTTTGTGTACAAGGGAGTGACCGATACTCCTCTTCTGGGAATTAGTGGTAGGAGTTCTGGGTTCGGCCAGGTTATCTCACATGCTGTTAAACAGTCACTTGTGGGTTGAGATTTGGGGGTTTGTGATTCCCTTATTAAAGCCATTGAACCTCGTATAAAACACAGTGAGGGGAAACACTGAAAGCACTGACCTCAGAGCATGAGTTTAAAAAGCCCCTTTATTCTCTTTCCATTTATGCACACAAAGTTGTTTAATGGGAAAGGTCCTTCTCTGAGAGACCTTTTGATCAGTGTGGGGTGTCACCTTGCCCTTGGGGATGGGCAGGCTGGGGAGGGGGAGAAGAGGTGGCCAGACGGTTCTCTCTCAATTGCTCTCCATCGCATTTTCATTTTTGGAAGAGTCAGTATTATTCTTGAGAGGAAACATTTAATCACGTGATCAATGCAGCAAAGTCTGCCCGAATCTGTAGAGAGCCTGAAATCACCGTGCTGAGGTGTGAACTGTCCCTTTCATTTCAGTGGTTGTAACTCTGATGCCAGTAATGATGCATAAATGTTCCAAGTGTGTGTGAATGGAGGGAGCTGATTCTATTCTGAAGATCTTTAACATCCAATATTGAACAGAAATCATTCCTTAAAATAAAACTGTAAGGACATGATTAACAATACAATTTCATTTTGTTTCATTACAAATCTAAAAGCTGGGCAGTGCCTTTAACTCATGACGGGCTGTGGAGGGGAGACAAGTTATTTCATTTTTCTGGGGGTGGCAGGGAAGGGTTCAGCTTTCCAAAGTTTGGGAAATGCTGTTTCAGTATGAAATCAATGTATTTCTGGAGTGAAAAGGGAAATGGTTAGTTAGTAACTCGTGAGTTGCTTAAGAAAGAAAGAAAGAAAGAAAGAAAGAAAGAAAGAAAGAAAGAAAGAAAGAAAGAAAGAAAGAAAGAAAGAAAGAAAGAAAGAAAGAAAGAAAGAAGATACATCTGTGTTTCTGTGTTTGCACATGCAGCGTATCTGCTGAAAAGTCACTGGTACAGCCCAGTTTCTCTCCTCTCTCCAAGACATTGCAAACTTCCATCCAAATTGGACTCTTAAGTTATTAAGCCAGATGCTAATAGGTGTAAGTGGACATTGTTTATTTTAAAGGTGCTGTGCTGATTGACCTCAGCAAGGGATCTGGCCCCTTGCTTTAGCTTGTCTCACTGATCACTCTAATGTCCCATTGATAGATGCTGGGCTGCCCATTATGCCAGACTCTTGCTACACAGAAGGTGAAGAAAAAAAAAAAAGATGGGACAGAGGAAGGAATAAGGTGAGGAAGGAAAATGATGCAGGTGACTAGGGGTGGCGCGAGATGGGTCCCGGGGCTTGTCAGAACTCAGCCAAGCATGACGGACGTGGTGATATCTCTTCACCTGGTCAGCACCTTTCAGGATCGGTGCAAAGGCATCCAGACAGATTCCAGGGCTCAGAGATGCTGGAGGCAGTGATGGGGACACACATTATACCCCCTCTTCAGCCAGTTGGCTCCTTTGGGGTATCCAGGCTGAAGCACAGGCAGCCAAGCTAACTGCTCATTAGCTAAAGAGAAATGTTTTTGCTGATTGTTGTTCAGCCTCTGAGCCCTTTTGCAGGGGGCAGGGTGGTGCTTTAAATAAGTTGCCAAGAGACCTCCCCTGTGCTCCCTGTGTCTATGTCCCAGAAGGAGTGGCTGCCCAAGCCCATCTGAATTAACCAGGGTCAGAGGATGAACATGTCTTGTCATTGTAATGGAATTTTGGTTTGTTGCCAGAGCAATTCTGGGACCTGCCCAATAGATTTTGACAACCCACGGTGAGTTCTTGTCACTAAAGAAATTCACTGCCGTCTGTCTCTTTGTCTCCAACTTACACTGCTTTATAGAATAGGCTGAACTGAACTTTAGTTCCCTTTCTTCCATGGAAGTGACAGTACACCATGTCTTGAGTGCCCTGTATCATGTGTGAGCCGGAGTGACAGGATACACCATACACCATATCTCATGTGTGCAGAGTAATGGGATACATTGTGTCTCTTGTGTGTGGGAGTGATAGGATACACCATGGCTCATGTGTGCAAGAATGACAAGTGTCTTGTGTGGGAGAGAGTGACAGGATATACCATGTCTTGAGTGTGTGGGGCGTATGCTGTTTCTGACTATGCAGGAATGACAGAATATACCATCTCTCAACTGTGCAGGAGTGGTGGGATACACCATTTCTCATGCAGGCATGATAGGATATGCCATGTCTCAGCTGTGCAGGAGTGCAGGGATGCACTGTGTCTCGTGTGGGAGCGATGGAATACACCATATTTTATGTGTGGGATACACTATATCTTGTGTGCAAGAGTGATGGGACACACTGTATCTCGTGTGCAGGAGTGACTGGATACACCATATCTCGTGTGCAGGAGAGTCGGGATGCACCATATCTAGTGTGCAGGAGTGTTGGGATACACCATATCTGGTGCACAGGAGTGTTGGGATACACCATATCTGGTGTGCAGGAGTAACGGGATAAACCATGTCTTCAATGTGGAGGGGTGATTAAATTTCCCATGCCTGGTAAATGGATTCCACGGGAAGTCCCCCAGGCAGGTAGCTCCTGCGGGGGAGAGTGTCACTGCCTACCCTGGCTTCCCTGGACTGAGGAGTCTACTGTTCAAGCGACTTGCAGACATAGACCCTACTGACGGTGACTCTGCTTGAGGGACTGATCAGCATGACACTGTATCCCTCCCACCTGTCACCTGGTGAGATGGGAGCTCAGTTAGGGTATGTCTACACTACAAAGTTAGTTCGAACTAACGGACGTTAGTTCGAACTAACTTTCATAGGCGCTACACTAGCGCTCCGCTAGTTCGAATTTAATTCGAACTAGCGGAGCGCTTAATTTGAACAAGGAAAACCTCATTTTACGAGGATTAAGCCTAGTTCGAACTAGCTAGTTCGAATTAAGGGGTGTGTAGCCCCTTAATTCAAACTAGTGGGAGGCTAGCCCTCCCCAGGTTTCCCTGGTGGCCACTCTGGCCAACACCAGGGAAGCTCGTCTGCCCCCCCTCCCGGCCCCGGACCGCTTAAAGGGGCACGGGCTGGCTACGGTGCCCGTGCCAGGTGCAAGCCTGCCAGCACCCAGCTAGCAGAACCTGCAACT